GTAAAAAATCTGATGTGTATACCACATGACTTCCTTGTACGGAATATTAAATTATACGCATTTCTTCTTGCATTTCATTTAACTTATTAGATTGAATTAAACCTACTTTCGCAGACAGCGCATAAACCACAATAGAATAAATACATTCTTTAAAATTCACTTTGTTTACCATAGCGACACTCTGGCGCTAGGTTTACTTAACAGTATTATATTTCGTTCATATTATAACTCAGAATGCACAAAATTTATATCATTTAAAGAATTATCTAATCGTTGCCACATGTTCTATTCAAATACTATAACAAAGCTAGAACGATGTATAAAAGAAATTAAGCAAACAAAACGAAACAGAAACAGTTTTTCACAGACGATTGAGTATTTCTCATTCAATTAATTCAGTTTTCACTTCGCGACAAGGCAAAAATACATAAAAACTCAAAATATCTGTTTTAAAATTTACGAAGTAAATCTTAAATACTTATTTCCTCGAAAAAATTCCAGAAAGGATTAAGCATGATTTAATTCGCAATAATAAATGAAGGCGTTATTTTGTGTTGCGAAGCTTAGTGTCTCTAGATTGGCAAACAAATCTACAATTCTGCTGTTTTCAAATGTAAACAAATATGTCCGCCATGTTATTTAAATTTAACCCGCACTTAAACAGCTTTTAAAATTGTTGATAATTGTACAAATATTGCTTCTTCTAGAATTACGAAAGGCATAAAACTTTAACCAGAAGATAAAAACAACATAATTCAATCATTTTTAAGCAAAAAATGTACAATTTACAAACATATAAGAGTAAAGAAACTTAGATCACTGAGCCGGGTAACAGAGTGGATATATTTATAAATATATTTATATACGTTTGGCGCAGCCGATTGAAACCAAAATACGAGGTGCACATCTACATCTTATAGTAGTCTTATATACAAAATTTCAAGGTTCTTGAGGCTACTCGTTTTTGAGCTATGCGAGATACGTACGTACGCACGCACGTACGTACATACGTTCGTACAGACGCCACGAAAAATTCTCTTCAGAATTCATTTTAAAGCAGTTTTTTAGTTTGTTTGGAGGAAAAGAGTCTTTTATTCTGTCCTTACGTATAGATATTACGCAAAAACATCGTTAAATTGCATTCGAAAGCATTCAAAGTGAATATTTTCGTTGAAATATGCTGCCTGAAGTTTTTCGCGATTACAATACTTCCTTTTTACTTCGTACAAGGAAGTGAAAACATTAATGCATTTATGCAGATTCTTCATTATTTAATTTCTTTAATAATAGTACAGGGCGATAATATTTGACAACAACAATTTGAAAAGTGATTCAGACTCTTGAAGCTTTCCACGCAAAATGTCAAAACGAAATCAATAGCCCTTCTGGGCTAAAAAATGGCTGCCGGGGAAACGAGAGTCGATTCTGAGTTACAAAAAAACCGCTAACAGCGTTGGTGTTTGGCGCCAAATCTAAGGGCACCCTTTTCTATACTAGAACCTTAAAAATATTCACATAGGTATTAAATTAATATTATTAAGTTTAATAACTATTTATATATAAGAAGCAATAAAGAATGTAACAAAAAAGTACTTTTCATCCTTTTTTTGACAGAGCAAAGGACAAAAAGCGCTTTTCTTCACAGGGAAAAGCGGAGGGTATATCATTGATATGTCAAAGTATAAAACAGAAATATTAGTAATAGAAATAGACAAAGCAGTCTGTAATGGAGAAATAAACCAACTACGATTGCGCATTAAAGGACAGTTATTTGATTTCGTTGAACTTACCACAGGGAATGATATGTACGACCAGCATTTGTGCGATTCGGGAAAGTGAACATTTAGTGTATATAAACCATAGAAAAACAAACGTTTTTTACAGAAAAAGGAATTCCAGTCTTTTATTTTCAAACGTAAAACAACAAATGTAAGTTACACATGTTGCCACTCACAAACTCAGAAAAACTGCTAGGAACAGAAAAATCATTAAAACATACAGTTAGCTGAAACTTTAGATGTGGCATCCTCCCACCTTAAGTTGTCCGGAGGAAGCTTAATCCAAATGGAATATATTAAAGTTTTTATTAGTCTATGGGGAGACTTTATTGTTATATCACTTTTGCTTATAAGCTTCCTCATATTGGGTAGGTAAAGTTTTGGTTAATTTTAGATTTTGTTCATTCACATCTTGATTTCTTTCATTTGCACAGGGTTTTTGCAAGCCTCTGAAATTTTGTCCGTTAATGAAAGAATAAAAGCAATAGAACACGACGCAGAAAAAGATATAGTTCTTCGTAGAACCAATTTCTTCCAGCTTTAATCAAGAATTATGAGACATGGAATCAAAAGGTTTCATAAACCCTCTTTTCCTACTGCCAGTCTCTCGAGGTATTTTCAGTGCGATGCATTTTAAATAAAAAGATGCTATTATTTACATGGATCTCTATCTCCCCAGGGATTCTAATTGGGGCCTTATGACATGATTTGTACTATGATTAAATGAAAATGACGAAAAATATGAGTGTTTTTTTTCTCTCCCAAAAGCTGGCACTAGCCATTATAGGCGTTGACCACTTATAGAAAACTTTCTAGATAAATTCTAAGTTTTCTAAGTTCTAAAATTCAAGGGAAAAGGCTTCACTTACGTTTGTTCCTTTCAAAGTGTAGCCAGGATTTAAGCTCGCCGATTCCTATTTTCGGTAATCTATTCAATAAATACTAATTCAGAAGTCAAACAACAAAAATCAGCGTTATATTTTCAAAATGCGTTAATCCTGTAAAAATTTTGAAAATATAACGCTGATTTTTGTTGTTTGACTTCTGAATTAGTATTTATTCGGCGTGTTATTGTGTCTTAATTATTCAATAAATGTTACATCTTAAGAAGAAGAAAAAAACTTTTAATTTCTTAATAATTCAACGTTATGATATACAGAAACACTAGAAATACAGCCGAACGTCTAACATATCTTCTGTCTACAAACCGTCTGTTCATTCTCGTTGCCAAAAGTTAATAGCAAAAAATTAAAGTCATAACATTTTGTCGCGCGCCATCTAGTGCCTGTTTATTGATTTGCTTTACAGGTTTTTCTTTATAAACGTTTTCGACATCACTACTACGGCCTGAAGGGGTGGTCACTTTATTATGGAGGAACCTAATAGGTGGGCCACCGTTGCCTCTTATGAAGGGGACAAGTTACATTCATGCCTTCTCCGGAATTCGTAACCGGGCTCTTCAGTACGACAGTCCGAGCCCCTAACCACTAACCCGCCTAGGCGGAATTAACTAAACAAATAAGTTGTAAAAATCTTATAATTTGAATTTTCATGATAGGTTAGGTTAGGTTATTTAATTACGGCAAAGCCTCGAGGGCTGCCTAAGGGGAGGGATGCGTTCGTGGAGGACTTTCTAAGGAAAATGGCTCGTATACACGTTACACATGGGAACAACCACGAACGAAACCGTGGAAAAACCACGAAAACGCCCACGCAGCCATCCCGTTCGCGGGATTCGAACCTCGGACCGAACTACCAGTGTTCAGCGACTTTACCGCTCGGCCGCTGGTGGGCCTACTGAATTTTCATGATTGTGAGTTATCAGACATTAGTTTCATGCCTGGAGTGAATGAGTAAGATTATATTTCGATCAGGTTTTTGCAAACGCTATAAATCATTTAAACCTCAATATTGTTTATTTTTATTTAGTTCTTATGAAAAGTTCTAATTCAACTTATTTTCATATTTGATGATCCACCTTTATTTTCTTTTTCCATCATTGCTCAAGAGTCCTTCAATCACTTCAATCGGTCGAAATTTTCTATGTTAAATTTTTTTGTTGCTAATAATAGTTTTATTTATAACTATTTGAAAGCCTGCTTCTGTCATTTCAACCAATAAAAACTTGCCTCAGGTTTCGAATTTTACTAGCCGGTCTTACTTCCTTTTTCAGAGGCAGATATGCTTGTGATGATAAAAATGAGTGATAGACACTAAATAATATAGAAATCCTTCATAAGGATTTTCTTTTTCTCTAACTCCTTGTAACTAAATAAAATATTTTTTTAGAGAAGACATTTTTTATTAAAGCTTATTGGCTAATTAAGGACTATAAAAGAAGAGACACACACACATACACACCAAATATATATATATATGAGTACAGAAAAGCCGTTAAAAGTAAGTAAAAATGCACTAAAAGCATAACGGCTTCAAAAAATTTTTAGTGAACGCTAAAGTTGACATACAATCAGAATTTTGAAAATGTACTTATTTTTATATGCACTGCACGTTTAGAGTTCTTCCTTTTTCCCGGCAGCGACATATTTTGAAACAGAGTGACGTATGTATTACTGCTCGTGGCCTATTTCCTTTTTTTTAAAAAAAATAATTTGATATGTAATTAGATAATTTTATTGCGTCTCAAAATATAATAGCATATCAAGTGAAATAGATCTCACTTTTGTATTAACAACGTTTATTACCTTCTCGAAGTTCAGATTTCTAAACTTAATTTAATATACACATTTAAGATAAATAAATACTTGCCATGTCTCGTAAGAAATACAATATGCTTGAATTTTCTTGGAGCATTTACATCAAACATGTAAATCTAGAAAAAAACTGAAGAAAATTTCGCACATTTTCTTAAAAATGTGTTAAAACTTTAAAGCGCATTATTAATAATTAAAAAAAGAATTAGAAATATTAATTTTTTGCCAAGCAATTTAGCTTTACTTCTGTTCATTAATTTTCTGTAATTCATTTGCACTACTTTCAAATAACCATTTTATAGAAATGATATCGATTGACGTTTGACCAGCTGAGTTAAAAAAAATGGATGAATATTCAACGAATGAATGAAAGATCTGCCAATTCTACAATCTCATAAACCTGTTGAGCAGGTTGCAGCTGCTGTACAGGAAATGGCGTAGCCTATTCCGCACTGACGTCACATGATTTCACTTCCTTAATAATGGTTGCCGTTGCTTGGCAACTGCGTCTGGCTTTTTAATCGATCTTTCTCGTTGGGGACAGCAAAAACATCGACGCACGCTGGTCATACCTGAGTAGCGTTGTGTCAGCAGAAATGAGTTTCATGAGTATGAAACAATTAATACGATTAGCATTCTGTGTTGGATTTACAGTTGTGATTGTACAGGTTAACGCGAAAGAAGATGAAATGCAAAAGTTTCCACTGTTAATGCCAGATGTCCAACCTAAAGTGGTAAGTAGGCAAATAAACCTATGTGTGAAAGTTTATTTGCCTTTCCAAACGACCTCAATAGAATATACTTATATTCAGTGGTTTATTAGTAGCATATTTTACGCTTTATAAGGAAAAAATCGTCGTTAAAATCATAAAAATCAAAGTATTTATTATTTAAGTGAAGTTTTGGTACGAGCTGATTTGAAATGATTCTACCTGATGTGAACATATGGTGCAACTGACATTAACCGGTTTGCGTATGTCAGAGTTGAAACATTCTGAGAAATTACATTGCAGTTAATGACATATGCCTAGTTTCGTTTTAAATAAAGTCATAATGAATGACTCTTGATTTATCCCTCTCAAAATAATTAAATAATTAAATGGAATAAAATTTAATCAATATTTGTGATTAATAGTGGAAAGAAGTAAAATCTTTTTGGTATATCGCGTGTATACCCGTTTTAAAAATCTGATGTGACCCGTTTTAAAATCTACATGACTTCCTTATATGCCTATTAAATTATACTCATTTTTTTGGCTACAATTCATTTACACATTTATTCATTTTTGTGTCGTACCTGAGTCAAACTTTTGTATTTTTGTTTCTTCACAGTGAGTACAAAACTTTTCCAAATATAAGTATATAGGAACCGGGATACCTCATTAAATGTACGATTTCGTTATTTGTCCAAAATTAATTTCTTTTTAAATTTGAAATTGCCAAAACAAGAATATTTTCATCATTTAAAACATATTTGTAACTGGAAGTATGTGTCTACGACTTGTAGTTGCGGAAATTAAACTGGATAAAGCCGTACTTTACTTTTCGATATACGTTTGGTAGCCGGGTATATATTTCCTTACTCCGATTGAAATAAAAAAAAAGGGAGGCGCACAACTAGATGATATAGCAGTCCCATATACAAAATTTCAATGTTCTACGATTAATTGTTTTGCATTATGCGAGATACGCGAGTATTTAAGTACAGCATCACGAAAAAAAAAAAAATACAGTTTAATCTATTATGCGTTTTGGAATAAAGAGTCCTATATAGTGTCCGTACAGATATCATGTAAACATTAGTCAAAACGCATTCGAGAATAGTCAAAATGGATATTTCTGTTGAAATCTGAAATTTTTCACGATTGCAATACTTCCTTTATTTCGTACAAGTTTTTAAACATTTAACATGTTATTCGTATGAATTTTGTTTTCATAGTGCACGTGACTTTAGTTTCACATTTCAGTTTCATTTTTATTGCACTTTTTCATCGTATTAAAGAAATAAGTAAATTTAACACGTTAAATAAAAATTTTGCTAGAGTTTAAACCAGAATATCAATTTATAGGATATTTGCAAACTGCATTTAATGTTTCATTATTTATTCCAGAATTGTAAACAATGCATTTATACCATAAAATATTAAACTTCATATAAATACTGATTTCTACACTTTAGTATCAATAATGGAAATAGCATTCAGAAAGTGAAACAATGGAACGTTATCAGTAACAATTGCAAGTTAGAAATGTTATCAATGTCTTCTTTACAAAAGATAATGCAATCACACTGTCATCAAGATGAAGTGTCAGTATATATAAAATATTTTTAGTTCCCCCCCCCCCCCCAGTTATTTAAAATGAATATTTTTTGCTTTAAAAATATATTTCAAAATTGTAATATCTTATTCAAATCAGAATAAGATAAACAAGGCTGGACGAAACAATATGGCAAATGTTTTGTAAAAAAAAAAAAATCATAAATAAAATCTTTGCATATGGTCAACGATATGTAGTATAAAAAAATTTATGAAATTTTTGAAAAATCTCAACTTCTTCATTTTTGCCTCAAAAGTAATTTATTAGAATGTATCCTTTTAATTAAAAAAACTCCTATTATCCTGTTGTGCGTTTATTACATTGGAAGTACGACACATTGAACTATGGGAATTATGTGGAAAAATGTGGCTAATTTTTCACTTAATCTTTCATGTGCTTATCAGATATTTTATAAGGAAAATATTTAATATTTCACAGAGATGTTGTAATTTTTTCTTTACTTTTTTTTTTCTTTTTTCTTTTTTTTTTTTTTTTTTCGTTGCATATTCAGAGCCTCAGTTTTTGCTAGTTTATGATCATCCTAAGATCCTAAGATCATCATGTGTGTTCCATGTGATTAAAGTATGGTCATGATTACCATATCAAAGTGAGCCATTCAAAATAAAATTTTATTTGTTCATCTTAAGAACAGAAACTGTTGATTTGAACTATTAGTGTAATAAGTAAACTCTGTTTCTGAAATATATCAAATAATAATGTCTAACATAATTCTGTAATAAAATCTAGTAAAATCTCTGAATCTAGTTTTCATCTGAAAACATTATATTCTACATCAGAAATAAAGTCTAATAGTAACTGTGAAATTTTTTAATAATGTATAAATTATAATCATTTATAAGCATTTTCTTTCTTTTTACTTTTTTTTACAAAGTAAAGAAAAAATTGTAATCGTGAAAAATGTCAGGTATCGTATTTCAAGAAAATATCCATTTTAATTTTCTTGAATCCTTTTGCAAGACTTTTTTTGTGTGTGTGACGTTTGTACTTACTCACAGAATAAAGTACTCTTTTTTCCAAAACAGAGTGTAAAATGAATTCAAAAGGAATTTTTTCATGACGTCTATGTACAAACGTATCTACGTATGTATTTTTGAACCTTTCATAACTCAAAAACGATTAGACATAGAACGTTGAAGTTTTGTACATGAGACTGCTATAACATCTAGTTGTGTACCTCCCTTTTTTATTGCAATCGGCAGTATAATTTTATGTTTTTCATATGTTTTTATTTTTTTGTTTTAACGTGTTCCATCGATCGAATTTTTATGTGTGTTAATTTTTCATTTATCACATCGATAGGTTTTTACTGCATTTTTTGCCATTCACATGTTTCCAACGATTGATTTTAACTGTGTTTTATATTCTACATTTTATTTCGCGTGTAGCCTAATTTTTCACCCTTCAATGTCATTGTTTTTTAAAAAATACTGTGTTGAACCAATTTTTGGAGCCACAGCTCCTGGTAACTTTTTGGCGAGCTCACTACAATTTTTCTTCTTCCTATTTCCTTATTTTCGTAGCATATTGCGCAAAAAAAAAAAAAAAAAAAAAAAAAAAAAAAAAAATTTAAGACCAAATAGGTCTTACTGCACAGTACTTACTAGCTTTTCAATTATATACAAATATATCTATATATCTATCTATATATATATAAATCTATATCAGCTCGCCAAAAAGTTACCAGAAGCTGCGGCTCCAAGAAAAGTTCAATACATTTTTTAAAAAAACAATGTCATTGAAGGGTGAAAAATTAAGTTACACGTGAAATTAAACAAAGTAAAATACTAAGCGTTGGAAACTAGTTATGGCAATATAACTAGTTTCCAACAAAAAATATAACTAGTTTTCCAATATATATATATTATATATATAGCCCCTTACCCGGCATTTGTTTTCATAATCGTTGCTTGTAATCACCAGTCACATACTTCGAATTAAAGAAATGTTTCTAATGACGAACATATTAATGTTTTAGCTATGTCAAATTAAAAAAAAAATTGATTTCCGGCAATTAACGAAATCTAATTTTTAATGTGATCTTTTGGTTCGTGTACGTATACTCGGAAAAGTTTTTTACTTGCTGTGCGAAAATAAAATTATAAGAAGTTTGATTCCCGTACAACAGAAATCAACCGGGATGTTTAGTTTCAAAATTAGCATTTTTGATGTCATTTTTAATTTGCCTTAAGGGATCGGTTACTTAAGCTAGAATAATTCGAGAAAATAAGTTTAAATGAAGTGCAGCAAAAACTATGTACGATTTAATAGGCCATACAAGGAAGTGATGTGGTGTCAACATCAGATTTTTATTTTTATTAGTCCAAAAGGCTATTTTTCTCGAAATGTGATTACATTATTTCCATTTTCATTCCAGTCGGTTGCCATTCGCAAAAACGTAAGATATTATTCTTTCATATTTAATCTGCCTGTTATTAATTAACGAACTAAATTATTTAAAAGCAATAGATGCATATCTTAAAAATATTACTTTCCTGCTTTTCAGTCTGATTGATTTAAATAAATATTGTGATGTAGCCGTTCCTCAATAGACACAAATGCCGGCTAGCTTTAAAAGGATTTATTAACAGAGCACACAGGAACGGTTACAAACAAAAGAAATATACATAAAAATGAAACATATACCAAATGGAACATCAAACATTGAGAATAACATAACATAGTAAGCTATCATCATGGCGGCTGGAGGTCGACTGACGTTTTTTCATAGCGCCACGAGATGGCGTTTAAATAAAATAGTTCGGTTACAGTTCATGAGTTCATGGCGTGATAGTTCAATTACCCTTAAATAGGTCTGTTACATCCTCCCCCTCTGACTTCGTAGACGTCTCGGCAAGAAGTCAGGAACTGACCTTTGTCTACTTTGTGCAGCGGGCGGAGAATCAGATGGACGGGCTCCAGTTTGAAGAGGAGTAGATTTTGCGTCACCAGCACCTTGTGCAACAGGTGCAGATTCGGATGGTATTACATGTTTCGGGCGTCCTCTTTTCTTTAAGGGAACCACTGGAGTTACACGAGCTGTGTTTTGAAACTTATTTCGATCTTGATATGGATTCAAGGCTGAAACATGATACTTGCCGAGAATTTTGTCTGGTTCATGAGGATCGGCAATATCATAAGTGGTTGGAGATCTTGTAGTCACTATCACATAAGGACCATCTCTCTTGGGCATGAATTTAGCAGTTTTCTTCAGTGGACCTTTGCTGATTGGGTGGAGGGTGACCCAAACTTTATCTCCAGGAACGAATTTCGGTGTTTCTCTTCGTTTTTTGTTAGCATATCGTTTCTGCTTATCTTGATGCATTTCGACTCTTTCTCGTACCTGTTGTACATTTCTTGCAAAACGTTTTCAAATATGGAGTAATTTCGGGAACAA